ACAGATCCATCCACGTGAGTTGTAGAGAACAAGGTAGAATGGATTGTCAGTGGGACATTTGTCCTGGTGATATTTATAGATAGTTAAAAAAGTATCTGTATGGTAAGACGTGGTTAGCCACATACATTCCTATCGTTGATTACAATTCATCAAATTGATTCGGAAACAATTCTGTCAAGCACATTGGAAAACAACAACAGTTACTTCCATTTTACAAAAGTTCATAGCAGGCAGACAATGTGACTAAAAATGCTGGACTGAGAATAAAAAACCAAGATTAGCTAGATATTTCTATCGTAAAGGTCAATACAATTGGAACCAGCCAGTCCATATGAAGTTAAGCTATCATTGACACTTCAGTTCTTCGTTATTCTATAGAAAAATGTATATAAATTTTGCATACCAATCGCTTCGACCACATTAATAATGAAATTTTCAGTATCAAAATGAACAAATGTATTCACAGTAAAACATTTTATATTTAGTTTTAGTTATTCTTACTTGTGTATATTGTTTTCTTTACTACTTTAGTTCTGTTTCAAGAGACGTATGGATTAAATTGCATGTTGTGCAATAAAGTGATTATGCGCGTACAACATTTTAATTATTTTGTTAAGATTCTTGGCGGTCGGGGTGGGCGAGGCAGACTATTCTAAAACGCTTGTATTTACCAATTACTACCATCTCCACCGGGTTCCATTCTTAGTTTCAGCCACTGTGTGAAGGCGAGAAAACTGCCAGTAGCTTCCACTTGAGTCGGCTGTTTTTATTGGTGTTTTCCCTGCTTCTTCCTTCAGCAGTTATACTGGCCACCATGTAAAGCTGATCTTGCGCTAAGAAATGGCGTTTAACCCCAAACAAACAACAGCTCGTATGGTCTTAAACTAAGTAAAAGAAGAGAGTGAAAACCAACAAGTTTTGTAACTTTCAACAAATAATTAATTTCCTCTGAAAACAAAGTGTAAATTTAAAAAGAATGTACTGTGACCTAAATCCTAAATATTCCTAAAAGTTTCATCCAATGTACAAATGTATGGTGTTCCGAATGAATTCCAAATTCCAGCGATGATCTGAATGAATTCCAATTTTAATGCGCTGGTGTAAAAATATCCATTTTTGTCAACTTTACATCAATGAGTCGATCAAAGACTTTGCGAATGGTTTACTAGTGATCTTTCCATTTATTAGTTTACACTATGGCATCACATACATACGCATCACACTTATCTAGACCAGATAGATCATGTTCATTAGGAATCTTTTCAAAAGGTTAAACTTGGTTACATATTTTGCGTTTCCAATTTTGTTAATGCAGTCATTGATTCTTGGCATTGTGAATGGATCTGTTTTAATCATACTTTTCACTGTTCTGTAGTCGGTGCACATGCTGGAAGTATTATATGGTTTAAATATTAGAATACATGGGGACTCTAGTTAGTTTTACTTGTTCTATGAAACCATTCTCCAGCAAGGATTTAAGTTTTTAAAACATTCCTGTTTGAGAGCTGTTTCACAGCTTTAGAATAAATAATTTAATTTTCAAAATAGATTTTATTTTCTTGTTTTTGAACATCTTGAAGCAAGTGTTCATATTAAAATAACACATGTTCTTTTTTTCTTTTGGCTGTAGATGTGAAAGTTTGTGGTCCAGACTCTTCAGTACTTTTGAATTGCAGTATTTTCTTTGTTTGCTCTATGCGAGACCAGCAGACCATCTTATATATTATTGCAGTAATCATTTACCTAACGCTGCAGGATTAACACCGCTTTCACTATTTAAACAGCTGTCACAAACGCAATACATGAGACTGCATGTACTTTCATTTTACTTTATCGCTTTGGCGACTTTATTTCGTCATTAAAGATCACTTTGCTTGCGTCGAACTACTCTTAAAAACCATATGGATACTTTTCTGATTTTCTTCAGCTCCTTCTGCACAAGCAAAAATAAAAAAAATGCCTCATATATTATACGTGGTTCTTTCCCTTGTTTGACAGCTTTGTCTGCATTACGCTTGGTAGCGCACTAATACAGTCTAACGGGCCTTTATTATATCCTGTCTCAAGTTAGTGTCACGCAAATATATCTGTTACAAAAGGACTTAATTACTACACCAAATATCGACTGGTTCTTTTACTATGACGTCGGAGAGTCAGCCCAAATATGATTATGTCAATTTGTGATTCATTGCCTGTATGCCTGGAACAAGTTTCAAAATGACGACAGGTCCAATTGTAACATTGTGCTGAAAATCCTCAGTTACGAAAACGGTAGAAACACAACTCAGTGTTCAAAAGATTCACATAAACATTAGTTGGATGAAACATTGCTATTGAACTGTTTCAGTACGCAAACTGGAACTGTTCCATGCTCTGACATTAATACTTTTCATCAAAATCCACTTGTACCAGTACATGATTTATTGAGAGTGTTATATTCTATTTCCTTGTCTGCAGAGCACTTGATATAAACATTCTCAACAAACACCCTAAACTTATCGTATATTCTTAAGCTCTTGTAATTGCACCTGCGAATCAACTATGTGCATCTTTTCCATTCCATTTGTCATTCCAACCCTTTTCAATTCAAGGAATATAACATTGTTACATGTGATAGTTCACAGTACTTATTCAAATCCGTTAGTAAGATGCAGTTCCACAAATTTTTTCAGGATTCGTGGACGATACATCGCCACGTAATGCCATGCATCTCAGTTTTGGTGTAAAGTTCTGATGACTGCAAAAAAGCAACTATTCTAGAAGCAACGTCTGCCAAGGCAGTTGGACAAGGACTATAGAAACAAAACAGCACCAAAACAATTTTGTAATCACTCTCTGCAATGAACGACAAATGCAAGTTATGTAAATATTAATTACAGAATCTCTTCTGCGCCTTATCTTTGCAAGACTTAACATCATTTTATTACATGTAGTCACTCAAGTTGTCTTTTTATAGAAAGAAATGACGAGCATTGATACTTTTTCCCTCTTTTCTAAATTTCGTGTTTTTGTGCATTTTGCTTTTCCTTTTGTTGTCTGCATGTTAACACTTGTTACCTTTTTATAGAATTCAAATAAACCTGTAACATCTCATCACCTTTTCGTAAACTTCTTTGAAAATCGTCCCTCTAAGTTGGATTCTTACTTTTGGCATGTGTTACTTTCTGATACTCGCGAAACAGAAGAGCTTTTGTATTGTTCACGTCCAGTCAGCCGTGCTACTTCTGCTAGCTTGCCCTGATAGCAGGTCCTTGGGAATGCAGGCCGATAATCCTTTCTCTTGACGTGGCCGATTTGGTGAAGGTGCCTCTCGCTGATAATGTAGAACATGCAGCTTCTTGGGTATTATTCGCACCTTGCTGGTCACGATGGAGTGGTCCGTGTCGCGGATGGTGCTGTGGTAGCTGCGGGTGAAAAAAGACACTGGCCAGTTCCGCACGCCTGGTGATAACGAGGTCTAATTGGTGTCATTGGCGGAAACATGGGTGTCTCCATGACACCTGGCGAATTTTCTTGCATTTGAAGTAGGTGTTGGTCACACATAGGCTGTGGAAGCAGCATATCTTGAGCAGTCGATTCAGTTCTCATTGACCTTGGACTGGTGAGCGAAGCTTCGTAGTCAGCTCCTACTTCAGCATTAAAGTCTCCGAATAGGCAGATGCCTTCAGTGTTTTGTGTATGTTGAATATTGCTTGATACAGAGCCTCGTAGAACTGGCCTTTCTCCTCTTGGGTGGAACAGATGGTTTCGGGAGTACATGCTTAAGATATTGACTGGGCCTGAGGATGTTGACAGCCGGAATGCAAGGATCCTCTCAGTGCCTGATGACTGAGGCTCAATAAAGGCGTACCAGTACATACAATTACACCTATCAAAAAAAATTAAACGCAATACAAAACTGCAGCATGCGTTTCAGTTTAGAGTCTTGGAATGAAATGTTCCCGATTTTATTGTATAAGTTGTTAAACTTTATTATATTTGTGCGTCCCCGTTCTCACGGTAAAAATTCAAATATAGCACTTTTTACAAATCTACTACAAATCGGTTGCAAAGCACACATTTATATCCAAAGCATAGTAAAACCGATCTTACTCTCCAGAAGCTGGCTAAGATAAAGATGTCCCCATTTTAAAAGCAAAAATCGTGTGACCTCGTTTGTTAGGTCTGACAAGAAGGTGTTGTGTTGTGTTGTGTTAAATTGTGTTGTGTTTTGTGTGTGTATGTGGTGTGTGTGTATTTGTAAATGAAACTTCATTGAGAAAACAAACCAATATACTGAGCAAGCACCTCGAAACGAGGATGTCCCCGTTTATAATAGTGTCAAAGATGGATTGTTATGATCTTACTTAGTTGTAAAAGCCTTCATCTAAGCGTAGTTGTGTATGTTCCCAATATGTCAGTATTATTTCAGATCATGCCATACACAAAAACAGCACGTCCCCTTAGCCTAAAAATGCATATGCATCAGTCGGAAAAATGAAACGTCGTTTATACTGTAAATTGTCATTGTCAGCACCACTCCTTTCTCGTTCATTTTGGCACCGAATTACTCATTGAAGCTGGCATCATAAAGATCGGTGGGGAAGACCCGTTATCTGTTCATATTATTAATGAATAGCCTACCGTACATAACACGTTTACACCAAAGTAGAAAAGATAGTGAAAACATGAAAATTGAATAGACGGTTTCGCAAATGTAGTTAAATCTACCATTAAAAAAAATAAATAAGGCACAGAACATGGATGCTTGAAATGTGGCAGGATGTGATTATGACTTTTAACGTAGCTTTAACAATTTTTTCAGTCATATGGCTACGATGTCCGCAGTGTGGCAGTTTATAGTGATGTCTAGCACTGGGGCATCATGCCACAGACATGTAGCGTGATGTCCCACCCAGTCACATTAACCTGAAACCAGACGGACCAGTCCTAACACTAACCTCTTAATGCTCAGCGCCAAACGAGGTAGCTATTAGTACCATTTTTGTAAGTCGTTGGTATGACTCAATCGGGGATAGAACCCACGACCTCTTGCATCAGAGGCGGACGCTCTAACTACTAGGCCACCGGATCGCTTGAAACGTAGATTGTTATATAGATAATGCAGTAATGAATTTGAAAGCCTGTGTGCTATGACTTGAGTTTTATGAAAATATTGTAAGAACGGTATTTTGTCATGCAGTTTAAATATTTGCATCCATAAAGTTTACCACTATTACAAATCATCATCATCATAATCATCATCATCATCATCATCATCATCATCATCAAAAGAACTACCATAAAATTGTCTACATATTAATCAAGTAAATCATTATGTTAACCGCTCCTTAATTCACTTTTCAGGATCAGAATTAAATCTGAAAATCGATCTTAAGCCAAGTGGAAAAAATAGTTTTTGTAAACGTTACACATAGCACCGGTCACGACATAAAACATAACAGTTTTCATATATTAAGTGTTTCTCTGTGTATCTTAAATGGGTAGGCATTAATCAGTAAAAATAATGCAAAGAGAAAAATATTTTTATGATTCTTGCTGACTCATAGTTGCATTATTGAATACTTCTTTATTTTCCTTTTTTCTTTTCTTTTTTTTTCTCGTCTTTCTTTCTTTTCTAGATGACTTCGTTTTATGAAATCCAGATATAATGGCACAAATTTTTGAAAGATCTGAGCTTAACTTAAATAGTTTTTATTCGACTTGCTAATCACTGTAGCTATATTAGCAATTGATTATGCAGTAATAATATATCAAAGTTAATTTTCACAACACTGAAACAATCAGCTTTCCGTTCTTTCAAAACAATTTCCTACAGTCCATGATGATAAGATATTTGTCATTTAAAGCTTAATCAAATAAGCATTTTTATTACAATTTCTAAATCTGGCTGATTTAAATAAGACGAATCGCGACATATAGTATACCGTTATATTGAGGTATGTTTGCAAAACATAAACGATAATGTACAGGAGATGAAAGATTACATATATGAACCGCAGTCTAGTAGCAGGACATTTACATTGTGGTAATTTGTTTAGTAATTTCAGTAAATCAGTAACGGTGTGGGTTAAACCACTATGCGAACTCAGAAAACATACGTATATACCAGTTCAATAACATTTTTTTTTGTCCACGAATGATAATTAATCTTTTGTTCCTACCGCCAAGTAGGCCTGGGTGTATTCAGAAAAGTATTTGTTATTAGGTGTGAAAGCAGGTTAAAGTCACGCCACAGGTCACTGGAGAGAACCAACTGCCATACTTGTGCAAATATCGTTACAAAAAGCATTGAATATACCCTTAAGCTTGTTTTAACAATTGATTGCATTGATAATATGATCAGATGCTATGGACTAAAATTATAATAACAAATATTCAATTGAACAATTATAGACTGGGAAGAATGCATTATACATTTAGGTTCTCCTCTTTTTAATATCTGAGTAAAGAAAGATATGCAAGTCTCACAAGACTTTTTTCATATTCTAAATTAATAAATTCTACAGGTGTTTGGCCTGGATACAATTGAATTTAATCACCATTGCTCGTATATTATACAATTATGAGTTATACTCAGGCCAGCCAGGGGAATGACTGTGTATGTGTGCTCTTAAGAAATGCAATTAATTCTCATTTCAACAGCATGCCAAGCAAACAGGGACTTAAAAGTATTGCTGAAGCCATGAAACCAAATCAAGACACAATATATTTTGAAATATCATGATATGATTGTTAGGACTCTATGGCCTTAAACTAAGAAACAGAAAAAGCAAAGCAAACGAGTTTAATAAAAGGCAACAAATAAACTATTTTACCAGACTTAAACGTGAAAATGAAAATAGCACATACGGTATTGTGAATTAAATCCAAAAAATCCTAAAAGTTTTTTTTTATATGCTTAATAGTGTAGAGCATTCTAAATTATTTCATGTAGTGTTCCCAATGAATTACAGTCTTGAGTCTGCTGATGTACCAATAATCTTGAATATTCCGATGAACGAATATTCTTGATGTATCACGATGATATAATTCAGAATGCCTTTGAACTAGTCCCCATTAATCTCAGGAGCAGTGATGTATTGCATAAGTTAAATGATCACTTTGTAATTTCAATGAATAATTTAGATGAAACATTCTTCTCATATTATAACTGAACACATCTAAAATCTTTGATCATAGAATCCATAAATTCCAATATTAAGATAGGAATAACGTCTTTGTTGAAAAAAGTCTTATATATGCCTATATATAAATACCTATGGAAAAACATACTATCTATTTATAGCCTCAACTTATGTGACTATCCTGCTGAAAAACCTAGCATCTATTTAAAGCTTCAACTTTTGTAAAAACCCAAATATAAATGTATGGTCTCAAATTGTTCAGCTTCAATGACGTCACTGTACTGGACGCTAGGAGAATAATGGTAACAGTCTTGCAAGTGGCTGACCTGAACACACGCTATTGTAGGTAGGTGAAATGAATTCGATAGACCCCAAGGGTGTTTGATAAGGACAAACAAAGACTAATACACACACACACAAAACGTACGCGCATGAATGCAAACAAAAATGCAATGCATACACACAAACGTACACACACGCACACAAACACATGCAAACACACACACAAACATACTCGCATGCACACAAACATAAAAACACACACACAAACACGCACACAATTTTATTTATGACCTTTTTATCACTGACAAGGGGCTATTTATTTTCAACTCCAAATGCACCTCTTAATGTGTGCACCTTTCAGACCTGACTCCACATAGGTTTCACTCTGAAGGATGGTGAAAACTTCCCTCGGTCTTCTTTTGTGCAGTCGAGATTGATGAAGTCATCCTATATTCTGCCGACGATGAGGCTCCCACTCTTGCTGCTGTCTCTCCAAATCATTCTTCCAGTTTTCCTTCTTTGGGACAGCGGATCTTGGTACTGGTGGATGTGGCCGAAACTCACATGATGCTGGTAGAGCTGGTTGTGGATGTGAAGGCGTTCTCACATCTTGACCTCACAAAAAGGCTAAGTATGAAATGAGACATAATCCTTTCCTTCTCCTCTTCCTTCTTTTTTCCTCCTCTTTTTCTATTATAGCACTTTCTTGGATCGCATCCATAGAAAGGTCGTGTAGATGTCGCCTGGCAAACTCCAGGTGCATTTGTGTAATAGATTTTTAGAACCTAACGTTGCCTAAAATAATTACTTGAGATCGCACTTGTACTATGCTACCTAATAGTTCGGGACCAAAGGCAGCCGTGGCATTTCATAAGTCGATTAGGCAGTAGGTTATGCTTTGTGGGTTTTTAATTCCACTCCAGACCAAGGCATCGACGTAACATCAGGTCAGATTCATGTGGAAATTCAGTTTGCAAAAAGAGTCCATTGATGAAATTGTGAACGTCATCCTGTATGCCGAATTTGATAATACGATATAAATCAACAGTTTAATTGAAGTTATTTTAAACTATTTGAAGGCATGGTAGACTTCTTTCTCTCTTTGAATGGTGGAGAATCTTTTTAAATGGAATGGGAGGATATACTGGTTGCAGAACCATCCCCAAACAAGACAAAGAAGAAGAGGATACGGTCATGTCAAGATAGCTAAAACAAAAAGTACATTTAGTTTCCTGTTTTGCCAAACATCTTGCAGAACCATTACAACGTTGACCAAGAAAGATTGCTATGAATATCAAAACGAGCATCACAGTCAAAATCAACACGACAAATGTCTGATGATTAGTCACGAAGAAAAATTTGACGAATACATGGCGGACGCATTGTGTTTCATCTCGGAAGAAGCAGTGTTGTATCAGTGGTATAAAGACTTGCGTAATTATTCTTGCTCTTCTCCTTTGACTGCTCTAGAGATCCATCGCATCCAATCTCTCTTGGATCAGAGTAAGGAGTCGAATCGAAGAGATTATTATTTGACAGTGATTTTAAACCAAACAATCAGGATTGAATTGGTAACTTATCATTACATGTGGAAAAAATTCAAATATGGATACCTTGGAACTTTATTACCTATCGAAAAGCATTTTGTACACCGCCTCCTGAAATCCTGGAATCACACCCACAAGAAAGGAAAGATCAACGGAACAGAAGATAGATCAAGAAAACAACGCCTGCAAACGGAATATCAAAAGCCAAAAAGACGAAGATAGAAGACACCAAGAAGGCAACACAAATGAAGCAAGGACAAAATAAAAAGACGGAACAGACAAACCCTGCTGCTTGAGATAAATCCCAGAACAAAAACTCATACTATGGCAAAGAGCACACACTCTTTCTCACTTGCGATAACTGAAAATCTATGAATCACAACATCAGAAGCACCGCATCAGCCCTGAAGAAAACAAACTCAACACACTTTCAAATCATCAGACCTCAACCAAACTGCATTAGATGTAGTACCCTTTAACAGATGTTCAAGTATATGGAAATGCAGTATATCAGTCACATCAGAGTACACATAACAAAACACAGCGCACTAAAATCAAATTCCTCTAACAAGTTCAAAAAAGACGCTACGCTACTAAGAATAATGGTAAGGAAACAAGGGTTACAACATTCCAATTAGAATCAACCAAGGATAATGTAACCTGCACATAAATCCTAAAGCTAAACGTGAAGCACAACTCCTTAAGTAGCACTGAAATTGCGCTAGAGTTGATAACTCAAGAGGACGATATCGTCAGGGCACATAGGTTGCAGACTAACCGTGTTATTGTGTCCTTGGCTATTTTACTAAAGTTTTACTCAAATACCCCACTACTTCACTTCTAGTTTACTTTGATGGCTACTCATACCCCTTTCAGGAATACATTAATTAGCCACATTTGTGCAGTAATTGCAAATGATGGGGACATTACGCCAACAAATGCAAAGTTAGACAAATATGAGGCTTGTAGTGGTAACCACAATAACAAGTGCATTTTCAGGGGATTAAGATGTGCAAATTACGGTGGGTCTCATAACTCTAAAAGTCTGCCTCAAATCCTCGGGTTTTCAAACAGCAAATTATGAGAGATAACGAAAGCAAAGGAGGGGGCCTGGTTA